GAGGGATTAGGACTATGTTTCTCCACCGATCACCTGATTTACAATCACCTGGGATGCTTTTTAAAACTTCAGACTCTTGGAACTGCCAGTATCTCTCCCAACCCATTAGCTCTCAGCAGTCTCTGTACCTCTATTTCGACCCTGACCACACTGGACTGCAGGATTGGTGATTAAACTCATCTTTGCAGATATTTTCTTCCATTCAGGCACTAGTGGATTGGCACAAACCCTAGGTAACATCACACAGCGGCTTACAGAGTGTTCCCACGCCGGTCCAACGGGAGTAACGCAAAGGTTCCAACTGCGCCTGCTTCCCAGGGAGGTGGAGAGACGCCAGCCCGCCCCTTTTCCGCCAAGATCGAGATGGCGGCGACGGTGATCTTGGAGCCCGCAGGCCGCTGCCTCTGGGACGAGCCCGTGCGCATCGCCGTGGGCGGCCTGGCCCCGGGGCAGCCAGTCACGCTGCACGCGTCCCTGCGCGACGACAAGGGCGCGCTCTTCCAGGCCCACGCGCGCTACCGCGCCGACGCCGAGGGCCAGCTCGACCTGGAGCGCGCGCCCGCGCTGGGCGGCAGCTTCGCGGGGCTCGAGCCCATGGGGCTCCTCTGGACCCTGGAGCCCGAGAAGCCGTTGCTGCGGCTGGTGAAGCGGGACGTGCGGACGCCCTTTGCCGTGGAGCTGGAGGTGCTCGACGGCCACGAGCCCGAGGCCGGTCAGCTTCTGGGCCGGGCGGTGCACGAGCGCGACTTCCTGGGGCCCGGGGTGCGGCGGGAGGCGGTCCGCGCGGGCGGTGTGCGCGCCACGCTCTTCCTGCCGCCAGGTGAGAGACCCGCTGCCCTGTTTCAGCCAGCTTTTCTCGTGTCTCCTGGCTCTACCTAGAGGAAGGAGGTAGCTCCCAACTTTCCGGAGGTCCCTGGGGCCTTAAAGTATCAAAGACACAGGAATGAACTATACGCCTGGCTGGGGAGATTGCTCTGCTGCTCCAAAACTGAGAGGCCAGTTACAAAATATCCTAAAGAAAGGGAAAAGACAGTTGTAATTGAAAAAAAAAAAAATACGGGTAGTTTTAAGTTTTTAATGTTTCATTTTTTTATGTTTCTCAATTTTGCAACTTTGCTTCTAACTCCCACATATATTAAGGTTTAAGAAAATCAGCATGAAGGAGGAACGCCTCTTGCTATCTACCGGAAATCTGAAATTATTGGATAATTTTACCATTACATAAAAAGCAATTGGCCAATGAAAAAAGAAAAAGATGCTTACCCTCATTAGGAATCAGGGGAATGCAATATAAAACTGCACAATACATTTCACACTCTCAAAATTTGCCAAAATTTAGAAGTCTAACATTACCAGTTGGTGGCAAGTATCTGGAGGAAAAGGAACTCGCATACACTGCTAAAGGAATATAGTTAAATCATCTCCTCCTGGAAACAATTTGTTTTTACTTAGAAAGTTGACTATGTCATTCTACTCCTGGTACATGTGCACCAAGAAGTATTGTTTGTAAGAGCAAAAACAATTGGAAACCGCCCAAATGTCCATCAACAACAGAACTGAAGAATAAATGGAGGTATATTTCGAGCAGCAAAAGCGATTGAACTGCAGCTACAAGAATCACCATGGATGATTCTCAAAAAGTGTTGAGTGAAACAAGTCCCAGAAGAACACATTCAATATCAATCCATTTAGATAAAATTAAAAAATAGGCAAAATAAACAAAATAGTGTTTAAGGCACACGTAGAAGTGGCAATCCCATAAAGAAAATCAAGAGGATGATAAAATCCAGGAGATTCGACAGGGAGGGAAGGGGCACAGGGACTCAGGGGGCTTTGATGGTGAGTACTCAGTTATAAGTGTTGGGTAGAAAGTATTTGCTTTCATATTCTTTAACTTTTGCTTGTGAAATACAAACTTTTGATGTAAATGGTGAAAATATCCAACAAATGGAATCATACCCAGTATGTAGCCTTTTGAGTCTAGCACAATGCATGTGAGATTCATTCGTGTTGCTCAAAGTATCAGTAGTTCCTTCTTGCTTCTCAGTAGGACCCCTTATAAGGATGTGCTACAGTTTGTTGATTCATTCACCAGTTGAAGGACATTTGGGTTTCAAGTCTTTGGAGATGATGAATAAAGTCACTACCAACACTTGCATGCAAGTTTTTGTGTGAACACAACTTTTCATTTTTCTTGGGTAAATACCTAGGAGTGAGATTGCTGGGGCAAATGGTTAAGTGTATGTTTCACTTTATAAGAAATTGCCCAACTGTTTTCCAAAGTGGCTGTATCATTTGGCATTCCCACCAGCAATGTATGAGGGTTCCAGTTGCTCCACATCCTCACTGGCATTTGGCATTGTCGATTTGGGGAGGGGGCAATGATTTTACTGCTTTTGTTGTCTCTTTGTAAATTATTTTTAATCACAAAAGTAATACATGCTCTTTGTATAAATCTGTGGGGCTTTGAGGCTCTGAGTGTAGAGGGGAATGTGGATTTAGCCTATGCCACTGTCTGCATCTTTGAAGACCAGAGGTCTGTCACCATTTCTGATTGTCAATAGAAAACTTTGACATCACCAAGTAGACAAAAGATGGCTTTTGAAACCACTACCAAGAATTTCAGGAAAAGTTCATTTTTGTGTTTTGTCTTTTCCAAAGGACCCGGGCCCTTTCCTGGGATTGTAGACATTTCTGGAGCTGGAGGTGGCCTTCTGGAATATCGAGCTAGTCTGCTGGCTGGGAAGGGTTTTGCTGTGATGGCTCTGGCCTATTACAACTATGAAGACCTCCCCAAGGGCATGGAGACCCTCCACTTGGAGTACTTTGAAGAAGCTGTGAACTACCTGCTTAGTCACCCTCAGGTTGGAACTTCTCTAAGTTTAGCTTTGTGGTCTATGTATCAGGTCACCTCCTCAGAAATGCTCTTGGTTTTCACAGAACTTGACAAATTCATGACAGCCACTCCCTAACCCCAATGATCACTACCTTAATTAATTAATTGATTATAATTGCTGATGAATGTTCACCCTGAGATAACATCTGCTGCCCGTCTTCCTCTTTTTGTACGTGCGCTGCCTCCACAGCATGGCCACTGCCAGACGAGTGGTGTAGGTCTGCGCCCGGGAACCGAATCCGGGCCACCAAAGTGGAATGTGACGAACTTAACCACTAGGCCACCAGGGCTGGCCCCATACTACCTTTAATAGTCACTTCTCCTAGATAGTTTCTGTGCAATTATACAGTACTCTAATATATTTCCTGCTAGTAAAGATGTTCTTAGTAGGTATTACGGAATTTTAAGCTCCAGTATTTTATAGTATCTCATAATGAGTCCAAACATATTTCAGAAACCTGGGTTTGACACAGGAAATGGAGGGAAAGGGGAAGGGAATCACTGTTTCCAGAAGACCCAGTTCAAACGTTTGTGTTAACAACCTTCTCTTCCTTGTGTCCCCTCTAAGAGCACAGTATTAAGCTTTAAAGGAAGAACCTGGTGGCCAAAGAACCTGGGTACTAGGAAATGTTTTGAGGGTTCTAGGCTCAGGGTATCAGAGGATCAGAAGATAAACCTTGTTTATTTTACAATTTAATCAGAGCTCATGGTGGATGGAAGCTTTGAGCTCTTAGAAAAGGTGACAGTGTGTAGTGGAGCCAGCAGCATAAGATGTAGATAGAGAAGAGTTGAATATGAGTTTTGATTTAGCCAATTTCTAGCACCATGACCTTGTGGCATGTCTTTCCTCTTTGGAATAATTGGGATGATAATAATACATTTAATTCCTAGTACTTTCATGAGGAATAAATGATTGAAACCAATCAAGGGTGTTATTGTAGAAGCCATGAGAAAAAAAATAGACTGCTGTTGAAAGGTCAATTAAATGGCCATTTGTAATAGAAGATTTTGGTGACTGAGACAAGAGCAGTCCTTGTGGTATGGTGCAAACACTAATGACCTCAGAAGGGATTAAGTAGAAAATGGAAGAGGAGAAAGAACAACTGAAAGAGACAATTTTTCCCACAAACTTTATTGTGAAAGAGAGTAGAAAACTAGGGTAGAGTAGACGTGGGGTCAAGGGATTGTTAATTAAATGTAAGAGGTACTAGAGCCTGAAGTTCACTGATGGGAATGTGCCACTAGAGAAGAAAGTTATGAAGGAAAGAGAGAGAGGAAGTATTTGCAGAAGTGAAGTGTTTGAGAATGAGAATGGATGGGATCCCAAGGCAAGCAGAGGGGAGCCTGTAGATAAGAACAGACCTACTTCTTTGGAACCAGGAGGGAAGGCAGAGAGCTTAAGTTCATGCGGATCTAAGTAGATTTGGCAAAAGAAAATGAGGAAGAGTTCCTACCAGATAGCTTCTGTCTTCTCTATGAAGGATGAAGAGCTGAGAGTGAAGGTGAACAGGAGTTAAAGCTTCTTGAGGAAGCAGGAGAAGGTGTGGAATGGTCTTTTGGAGATGTGGAGAGCAAACATATCAGTGAAGTGTGGCAGGATCCATAGGCAATATGGATGCTGATTTGACATTTGTGGTCATGAAATGAAAGTAAGACCTGTCAGCACAAATGTGTATTTTTTTCCTCCAGCAATGTTCATTTGCACAAATGCAGGCCTAGAAGAAGTGAACAGGTGGATTTAAGCAAGGCTAGTGCTTGACCAAAGGAAGACAGGTATTAATGGAGTTCAGAGTGCTTGCAAGAGAGTGATAATAACAGTGAAGCTCGAAATCTAAGCTGGATGAGGTGGGAAGTGACAACATGACACAGATATTGAATAGTGAAAGAAGTGGTAGTCAAGGTGTCAAAGAGGTGGAAATGGGCAGTCTAGAATGGCTAAAATGACTAAACTAGAAGTATTTAAGATGGTGACGAGAGAGTAGAATGCTTGAGTCTGAGATTTTGGAGATGACGTACTCACTGATGATCACTCAGCTTAGGTTGTGACAGTGGGAGTGGGTGGCTGAGGTGGGGTTGAGAAAAAGATGATTAAAGATATGGAAGTCAAGGAAGTGAGAGGCCAAAGTATTTAGCTGATCATCCACATGGTTGCTGAAGTCACCAGAAATGGTGGGAGAAATCATGGAAAGGAAAATAGGAAAAATAAGTAAATATCTCAAGGTTGCAAACCTTAGTAAATGGTGGAGTCCAGATGCAGGCTGAGTTCCGCCTGACTTCTAATTCCAGGCACTACTCCTAACACCTCACTGGTCATTGACTTATTCTCTTTTATCCTCTGTCCTTTTCTCAGGTAAAGGGTCCAGGAGTTGGGCTGCTTGGGATTTCCAAAGGGGGTGATCTCTGCCTCTCCATGGCCTCGTTCCTGAAGGGCATCACTGCCACCGTCATAATCAATGGCTCTGTGGCCAATATTGGTGGAGCCTTACACTACAAGGGGGAGACCCTGCCTCCTTTAGGCATCAACCCAGAGCGCATCAAGGTGACTAGAGAAGGCCTTGCAGACATTTTGGATGCCCTGAACAGCCCTTTGGAAGGACCTGACCAGAAGAGCTTCATTCCTGTGGAAAGGGCTGAGAGTGCCTTCCTGTTTCTTGTAGGTCAGGATGACCACAACTGGAAGAGTGAATTCTATGCCATTGAGGCCTCTAAACGCTTACAGGCCCATGGTAAGAAGAAGCCCCAGATCATCTGTTACCCAGGGGCAGGGCACTACATTGAGCCTCCTTACTTCCCCATGTGCCCAGCTTCCATGCACACCTTGGTGGGCCATCCTGTCATCTGGGGAGGGGAGCCCAGGGCTCATGCCATGGCCCAGGTGGATGCCT